GAATGTAATTCATCTAAAATATTAGTTTTGAGGCACATATTAGTAAATATTTACTTTAAAAATACGTTCACTGTATTTATTACAGGCCGTATTTGTAGATAATGTAATTGTTCATTTTCTTTATGGCAGGGTGTGTTCAGACTGTGTTTATCAATTCTTGTGTAGGATAGAACCATGAAGAAATCAACATGCAGATATTCTGAATACATTAGGTTTGGTTCAAGGCTAGGGTATCTTGATATGTTAAAATATTCACAAATAAATATACAGCATCAGGCAAAAATATATACATCAGTAAAGCAAAACTTGGATAAATATTTTAATATTAAATTGAGACATTGTAAAATTAATACAACTTACCTTTGGCCTCTATAATTATGAGATGCTGAAAGTGGTGCCCATTAGCTTCTAGACCTTTATTAGTACAGCAAACTACTGAAGCATGTATGTATATATATGTATATATTATTGGCAGACTCTGTATTCATAAAAAGAAACAGGCACTACCAGTCTATGCAATTCAAAATATTTTTAAAAACATTTTACCATAACATTAAAAGGTAGATAGCTAGGGCTGGGAATTTAGTTCAGTGGTTCTGGTGCCTGCCTCACAAGTGTAAGGTCCCAAGTTTGATCCCTGGTACCAAAAACACAAAAAGGGAGATTGCTAATGTTTCCATTTTATAGAGGATGATACCACCCAGGTGTATTTATATTATTTTTTAAAATTTTATTTTAATGCAAAACAAATAGATACTAATAAAGTAAATAAAAAAACAGTTCTATTGAAAAACAAATTTTCATAGCAAAAGTAATACAGAATAACAATTGCAAATATACGGTGTATCATAATCTTAAAAGAATATTTACATTATTTTCCATTATTTTCTTTTTGCATTTTTCTCAAGCAATCATATTGTGAGATGAGCAAATAATAAACTAAATTTTCATTCCAGTAGCTTAGGTTAGAGAACTAGAATCTATGTAAAAGGAGGGATTGATGCAGATACCTAATATGTCATAAGAATAGTGGGCCTTCAACTGGAGCTGTGGATTCTAAACTGGTGCTAAAATATTTAATCAAACGTAAGTGGGATTTATGGTCAAATGAAGGGAATAAAGACCGTATTTCCAGGACACACACTATGTAACACAGATGGGGAAAAAGCCAAGCTTTGTCTTCCTTACTAAATAATTTATTGAGCTAGAATGTGATTGATATAAATGTGTGTAAAAAGGTAAAAAATAGTTTCATAGCATTTTACTTTTTTTTTTTATAACTGACACTGCAGTGCACAGTAACGCCACAGTAGTTGTCAGTGATGATATAGGGTATGTGCAATTAACTTAAATTTATCAAAACTTGAAGTCCAAAAAGCTTGGGTGTACAAGCTATATATTAAATACTTTTCAAAAATCAAACAAAATTTGAGTGAAGACTTCATAAAAGGATATCAGAAAATATGACCTGAAAACTCTTGGAAGATAACTGCTGCATGATGTTCTCTCAATGAGAACTGTCAAAATTAAAGGTGGAGAAGGGTATGAGGAAAAAAGAATTAAGATATGTTAAGTTCTGGTGTAAATTTCCTATGATGAATGCAAACAATATGTAGGAAAAATTATTACAAATGCAAATAAAGATAAAATATTTTAAAATTAGCTTATGTTGTGTTTCTGCAGTCTTAGCTCAGTGTTTTAAGCACTCCAAATCAAAGGAATGTGTGTTGTTGGTTAATAATTGGTACTCATTCTTTCCGTTTTCCAAGTATCTTTTCTTTTTCAAAGGTGCCCAAACAATACAGAACCCAAAAATCTAACCGGTATATCAGAATTCCACCTTATGGATCTCTCAGGGGATCCGAACTTGCAGCCCGTCCTCTTTGGACTGTTTCTGTCTGTGTACCTGGTCACAGTGCTTGGGAACCTGCTCATCATTCTGATCATCAGCACTGACTCCCACCTCCACACACCCATGTACTTTTTCCTCTCCAACCTATCCTTCTCTGACATCTGCTTCATCTCCACCACAGTCCCAAAGATGATTGAGGACATCTGGTCTCAGAGTACAGTCATCTCCTATGTGGGCTGCCTCATGCAGATGTCTCTGTTTCTCATTTTCATATGTTTGGATGACATGATTCTTACAGTGATGGCCTATGACAGGTTTTTAGCCATCTGTCACCCACTGAGATACCATAGCATCATGAACCATCATCTCTGTGGATTCTTCATTGTTGTGTCTTTTTTGTTTAGCCTTTTGATATCCCAGCTGCACAATTTGATTGCCTTGCATTTTACCTACTTTAAGGATGCAGAAATTGCTAATTTCTTCTGTGACCCTTCTCAACTTCTCAATCTTGTGTGTTCTGATACCATTACAAAAAATGTAGTCATGTATTTTGTTGGTGCCATCTCTGGTTTCCTTCCCCTCTCAGGGATCTTCTATTCTTACTATAAAATTGTTTCCTCTATTCTGAGAATCCCATCATCAGAGGGGAAATATAAAGCCTTCTCCACCTGTGGGTCTCACCTTTCAGTTGTTTGCTTATTTTATGGAACAGCCATTGGAGTTTATTTTGCAACTGCTGTATCAAATTCTTCCAGAAATAGTGCAGTTGCCTCACTGATGTACACAGTTTTCACTCCTATGCTGAACCCTTTCATTTACAGCCTAAGGAACAAAGACATTAAATGTGCCCTGAAAAGGCTCCAAAGCACAACAACATAGCTTGAGGAACTGCAGCATCCATTTGAAACATGGATTGAAAAAGGCAATACATTTCAATATCAGAACCTTCAATCAGGTCTCCTTTATCATATTTTTATAGTTTGATGTTTTCTATTCTTCATCATATTTCACAGTACAATTGTGTTCTCCAGGGTTGAGGTAAGGAAGAAATGAGAAACATTTAAAATACTTAAAATATCCTTCACTTTAGAAGGCTAAAATTTTTTGTGGAGATAGTTATGATAGTTTCACCACAATGCAAATTGACCAGTGCCATCAAAGAATGAACTTAAAAATAGTCAATGTGGGGCATTTTGTGCATATTTTGCCACTATAAAAATGAAATAAAATGCAGATGATTCTTCTTTTAAAAGAACATACACCCTGATGGGAGGAAGTTGTCAAAACCTGTTTTGGCAGTTCTCCATTTTTTTATTCTTCCACCATTAACATTATGAATTCCATGGAGTTTGGGCTAACATGGGCTACTTTGACTAAACATAAACACCATGCATTGAGACTCTCAGATCATAGTAGAGTAAATAAACATTGTGCACCACTTGACCTTCAGCTTGATGCCCTAATCTAGGTGTGGTCCATACCTTTGCCTCTGCCTTTATGATTGTCTTCATCAGAAAGTCCCTGTCCATCACTACATTCATTTCAATTCTGAGGGCAGAGTCTAGCCTTTCACTGGGCACCAGTGAGAGGCAGGACACTGTATCCACAGTCTTTGTTTACCATGAAGCAGATACAGAGCATAACCAAGTAAGTGATGGGAGAGTCCTGGATGGAGGAAGGACCATAGGACGATTGTTTCTTTACCAATCTGGGATGGGTCGATAGTTGGGTTAGGCAAATGGGAGGATAACAATGTGAAATTTTCAGGTGTATGAATTGTCACTCTTATATTCTTGTTTGCAATGGAGATCCCAAAGTATCATAAATGTTTTCTTTCCATCCACACTGGTTCTGCTTCCCATTGCTATTTGACCCAGAGAAGGAGAAAATGGATCTATATAAATTGTTCAAAAAGCACTCCAAAGCATTAATGATGGTGCTCGTGATTTTTATGAGCATTACAGTAACCCTAGAATCCTGAAGCATTATTAAGGGGTTTATAAATGACAGTATCAGAGCTATGGACACATGTAGCTTATTTACCATCTTCTCTTTAGTTATTTCTCTGCTCTATGGTCCCATATTATCCTCATTTTTCATGAAAGAAATGATCACAGAATTTTTTGTATGTGCTGTGTATTAGTTTGTTATGTAGAACGTTTTTTGAATCATCTGTCTAGATAGAGCACATGGATTCCAATAGAATTTTGGCTTATTTTATATTGATAACACGAAAAACTAGTTTATTTCCCTTTTCTTCCAGAAGAGCTGTTGCTGAGTATGCATATTTCATTGTGATTTGGGGTAGATTACTAATAAAGTATGAACTATAGAAAGCTGTTATATGTATACATATCAATATCTTATGCTGAATGTAATCACTATGTGTTGCAAACATGCACTAATAAAACTTTTAAAAAGAAATGTACATCATTAAATGTGTCTACATTGGTATAAGAAATCAATGTTATTGACAGTAATAGTTACTATTATAGAAGCATTTAAAAAATATAAATATTATAAAGCAGCCATTTCCTTCACTAATTTAAGAAACAAACCTAAGAACTACACATGCAAACATTCTGATTTAATTGATTTCATCCTGTGGTAAATGAAAACAAACACTTTTTTAAGTTCAGAAATAAAAGTATTAAAAATATAGTAAAATTCAATCATCTGTAAAATTAAAAGTGTTTCTAAAATTATATTCACACTGTATAAGATGTGTAACTATAACCTGCATTGGACAGAGATAAAACTGTTTAAGTATATTGTGATTTTCTGTACTTTTCTCTTGTGTTTTCTCACAACTAAGCTATGGTGAGAGCTGATAAATTAACTGGACTTGCCTGCACCTAGCTGAACTAAAAGAATTAAATCAATGAATCAGGAAAAATGGGTGTGAAAATCTATCAATGAAGACTAAGACTACTAGGATTCAAACCTAGGATTGGAGACTTTCCTCAGTGCTGAAGTCCTCAGGTCTATGGAAGATTTATGAGGAGACAATGAGCCAGTACAATGAGGCTTGTGAAGCCACGACATATTATAAAAATTTAAAAAAATCATATATCTTTCTTACATAAAGATAATGAACCAAGATTCTACAGTGTTTATACAAATTAACATATATAAAATGAAAAGTATTCAAAATTATCTAAAACTTTTAATTTTTTCCCATTAAGTTTATTGGTACATTTTTGGTATAAAATACAGCTGCATTCAGCATTGGGATCTTGTACCATAACATGAGCATCTTTGTTCTTTTTTCCCCCTTCCCTTCCCCTCCCTTCACCCCCTCCAACCTTCCCTATTAGCAAAGACTTTGTTTCCTTTTTTTTCTTTTTCTCATATTTTTTCTTTTCCCTTTTTTCCTTTCCCCTAACCCTCCCACTTCCCCTGCACCTTTAGACCTATTCCTCCTGTTTCACAATATCAAGTATACATTTTTAAATTACAATAAGATCTAGGAGACATTACCACAGATTTTACAGAATCTAAAAGGATATAGAAAGCATATTTCAAAAATCTTTTTTGAAATAAATTTGACAACTTTTATGAAGTACCTTGGGAGACAAATTAATGAAACTAACTCTGGAGGAAATATAAAATTTGAATAGCACCCATTAAAAAAGTATATTCCTAGCTTGAAAACCCACCTATATGACAA